ATAGATAGATAGATAGATAGATAGATAGATAGATAGATAGATAGATAAATAGCCCAGTTCTGGATTTCTGCAAAGTATATGCCCTAAATCTACAGGAAAAAACTCATCTAGATCACAATCCCTTATTTTTGACAAGGGAAGGAGTAGTACACACACTAAACACGTAATAAATGCTTTATCAAATGTAATCTAATTTAAGAAGTACAGGACCACCAAAGCATATGACACAAGCAATTGTATGCTTTGAGTTGCTCTAACCAGTCTATTTACTTTTTGTTGTTATTGTTTTTAATAAATGAAGGTTGTTTGCACTGTTTGAAAAAAAAGAGTAAGTTGCTTTCTGTACAGTTGTAGTCGTTTGTGTCAGGGAGGTAAAGCTCTGCAAACAAAAATGAGTCATTCTAAGAGGCTCCTTGGTTTTTAAGGACACTTTTAAATCACCCTCACAACTTTTACTAATAGAGATTATTACAGTTAAAACAACATGGATTTATGAGCCTCTCACTGCAGATGTATGGGCTATATACATAAATGAGTTTGGGGAGGTGATGTTCACCAGAATTCCATACCTCTGAGATGTTGCCAAGGTTTTTCTTAAGAAGTCAAATATCAGGAGAAGGCAATTTCAAGGGCTCCTACCCTGTCCCCTTGGCCAGAGCGCCCTCAAAGATAGAGGCAAAAGAGGCTTATTAATCAGTTTTAGGGAAGGGGAATTCTTAATCACTTTCATTCTTATTAAAGGTGATTTTTGTAATGTGCTAAACTTTTGGCTACTTTCAGCTCTGGGAACCAGGCACACCTAAGTAAACACATTAGTACCTGACAGAGCTGCTGGAGGAATTTGTGGGGAAGACAGCTGAAGAAGACATTGGCCTCTGCTTGGATACTGGGACTCCCAGGAGAGATCAAAGGGATTCGGACTTGAAACCAGGGAGAAGGATGGTCCCTACAACCACAGCTTGTTGTAGCACATGGCTCAGCTGCTCAGTCTTGGTTGCTGAGTCTGAAACGCAGCAGGCAGATTTCTCTTAGAGGCAGAACTAGTTTTTTAGGATGAAAAGTGGTTGACTAGACTTCTCTCTCTCTCTCTCTCTCTCTCTCTCTCTCTCTCTGTCTCTCTCTCTCTCTGTCTCTCTCTCTCTCTGTCTCTCCATCTCCATTTCCTGTGAGTTAAAAGGCTTTCGAAAGGCCAGGGAATGAAGTGCTGGTACAGAATATCAAGGTGAGATGCTTTTAATAGCCTGGGTCTTTGGGAATATGCCTTATTACCTACCAACAAATTAAAGAAATGAAACTACAGTAATTAAAACAAAAATGTCGATCTCCTCTGCCCCTCTTCTGCTTTAACCTTTTGGGCAAAAGAGGATGAAATGGTGTTGGCAGAGGACTCTTCAGAGAGATAGGTAAATTCTAACACTAGGATTGCATTAATAAAGTCAGAAGCACAGAAGACATTTTTCTGTCCAAAGTTCTAGATGGAGCTGTATATTTCTCACTCCTACTCTCCTCCAAACCCACACCTGCCATCCCAATTATTGTGGTACCTTAGAAAATCTGAGATTGGAGGACCTGGGTTTGAATCATGCTGCTACTACTTTCTATTTGATTAGCTTTAAGCAAATCAACTCACTTTGAACTTCAGTTACCTCATTTATAAATTGAGAGAGTTGCATTAGGTGACATCTAAATGTCCCTTCCAGCTTTAAATTGATGACCTTATGTATGGGGCCAGGAACAACCTTGAATCTCTGCAGATGACCAGCATGTTCAGGTTTGAAGTTTCATGGCTCAGGTGAGTTGAGCAGAGATAGCAGTTTAGGAAATTGTCATTTTAAAAACACTCTCTCTTTCCTGGTAATATCCTTGGATGAAAAAAAAAAGTCCTGATCCTATTCTAAACTTGATAACTTTGAAGCTAGCCTGCCTTTGGAAAGGGGTTAGGTTACAATTAAATCACAAACCACTTATCTTTCCTGAGTTATTACCTCCTGATTGGAGCTCCTAGAGACCTGTTTACTTTGGCTTCCGACTTGGTAAAGATTATCATTATTAATATCAAACAAAAACATTTTAATTGCAAACACACCAAGGGTTTGAATTAGAAAGCCTTACATGTCTGCTACAGGATTGGAGGTCATAGGGAGCCTTTGGGAAATATTTGCTTTATTTAATGAAGAACTTCTATAGGCAAACTTTACTCCAAACAATTTCTCAGGTTACTCTGCTCCTGGAGATTGGGTAAATTTGGTATGTGAAGATGGAATAAAATCCAACGACAAGTCAAGACCATGAATTATTTAACTAGTTACCGTACTGAGACATAGGCTTAGTAGCCTGAACAAAGCATGAATCTAACACACACACACACACTACACTTATGATTAATTATTATTTACTAATTATTATTAATTAGCAAATTAATTCAATTCAGAAAATGGTTTCTTTTGCTAAAGGACAATTCATCCTAAACATGCATGTACACATACATACATATATCCCACTCATAGAAAAAACACATAATATGCACAAGCACAGTATACATACACGTGCTGCATATTACCCTCCTTTCTGATCTGATGCATTAGAGGTGGAATCTTTCCTAGCTTTAGGTTATTTTCTACTCTGTTTTGCAGATCACAAACTTGGCACTCAGATAAAATGTCTTCTGGAAACAAACCTCAGCAAAATGAAAAAAATAAAACTAGTACCCAGAGTTGTTGTTCGAGTTTTTCTTTATGGGGTGCGGATAGAGGTGTAGGTGATGAGAGTGTAGCTTTGAAAGAGTGCCTTCTAATTTTATATGTGAGCCTGGCATGATGGAAAGGGCCTCGGATTGAGAATCCAAATTTTGAGGTTGCAGTTCCCACTCTCACTCTCCAGTCTGATGCCTCATCCAAGTCATGTCATTTTTGAGACTCAGTTTCCTTCTCTGTTAAATGTTTGTTGTAGGATGATACGATATCTCTGAAGTCACTTACTACTCTACTATTCTAAGATGTCCAGAGTGTACAGACATTTGGAGAAGAGATGTAAGATGTTCTTTCTTCAAATGAGTATGACTCAACACATTCTCTGTTGAAATGAGTCAAAGGTGATGACAGATGGAGCTAAGCTGATGGATGTAAGATTTAGAGAAGAGTGAGATTTTAGAACTATAACACTGGAATTTGGGACAGCATGGAGCTGAGGTGCTTATTAACTACTGAGGGGGCATGGTACAAGCTTGGGAGTCGTGACCTTGGGTTCAAAGCACACTTACTACCTGTGTGGTTAAGTTGCTTAAAGTCCCTGGGCATCGGTTTTCTCATCTTCAAAATGAGGAGCTTGCAATGACCTTTGAGGTCTCTTCTAGCACAAAATCTATGCTCCTTCCTCAGGCTACTCTCTAGGGACATGTGTTTTAATAACCCAACCTCCTCACCTCCACATACAATGCCCATGACAAACCGCTTGGAGGTAGGTGGAAGCTGGGAGCAGGGATAGAGATAAAGGAAAATTCATTTGTGATCTAGGGGTTTTCTGTGATGAGGAAGAATAGGAGAGGGGGAGTTCTTACAAAAAAAGGAAGAGGTCTAAAGAGACCTCTTCTTAACAAGACTGCAAAGAAAGGCACCATGACATGACCCAACCCTGCCCCCCATCCCCTTCTGGTGCAGTTTCTAGGTGGTCACTCCTTCCTGAGATTACAGTATAAACAAAGCTGGCACACGTTGTAAAGAAAACCTCCTTGGGATCAACTCCTGGGGTTACTAGCCTCCCATTGGGCCTGGTAAGAGGCTTCATGTGCTATTGTGGTTGTATTCCTCTCAGTCAGCTTTCAATCATTTAACCCTTTCCTCCTCTGGAGCAGAGGATACTCCCATCAAAGAGGCGTCCCCTCCCCCAGCTCCAACACCAAAATTCCTCTCCTTTTATCCTACTTACTGGAAAAACAAATCCAAGCTAACTAGGCCTTGGAGTCATTCAAGCCTTCTAGTGTCTGGTCTAGTTCAAGAAATGTAGGGTCTTCACTTAGCTTCCCCTAATCTTTGCAGTAGTCCTGAGGTGGGGAGGACCAGTTCTGGTTGTTAGTCCAAAAGTTTCTGGGATCAGGTAATACTCTGAGACTTCTCTTAATTTCTCAAACATTCTATCAGCTAACATTTGTTTATTGATTACCACGTACCAAGCACTGAGCTAAAGATACAAAGAAAAAGCCGAACAACTCCTGCCCAAGTCAGGGAAAGTGTGCAGATGTGTGTGAGTCTGTTTTTACCCATTCCCTAGCAAGCCCAGATTCTCTCAGGTGGAAAACGTATGGTAAGAGGAGGGAGAGGGTGGGAGGTGACATAGCACATTTAACCTTTTACTTTGGAGCACAGAAGAAGGAAGGAGAGACAGAACCCTAAGCACACAAACAAAAAGAGTAAATAGAGAGGAGGGAGGCAGGTATCCAGATGATCCCGACAAATTCTCAGAAAGCTACCTGGTTGTCCAACTGGAGCAACTCTTCACCCTGAACTCCCTCCACAGGCTCTCCACCTAATACCTCCCCTCCCCCCACACCCGAGGTAGAATTGTTGAGTGGAAAAACTTTTTTTTTTAAATCAGAAAAATAAAGTCTCCCCTCTGTATTCTATATTTGCCCATAAGTACAATGTGGAGGAAAACTTTTAAACCTAAGTATCTGTAGAATAGAATTGAAATACCCTTGACAATTGTCTGTCACCCCGACAAGCTTGGAGAATATAGAAAGGCCTTTTATTTGTACAATACTAGCATCCTTGAACCATTTATATACAGTACTGCATCCCCCATCTTAAATACATTTCTTGCATTTACATAAAAAAGAGAAAGTACTAAAAGTATTTACAAAAAACAACAACACAGAATACACATTAAATAAAACTAACATTAAACCACAATTTTCCCACTTGGCTTCAGACAGGAATGAACTTCTCTGGAGCAGGGTTCGATAGGCATGATCGTGATAAAAGTCAATCTAATAAATTAAAATCAAAAAAGAAAAGGAGAAGGGACTGCCTATGGCAGGGAGGTTCAGGAGACCAAACGCAGAGAGTTTTCCGTCTGAATGCACAGAACCGTTTTGGGGATTTTTTTTTTTTTCTGAGAAGATATTACTTTGTTTCCAACTTTCAGAAGATCCTGGCCATGGTTTCCTAAATATTAATGCAATGTAACCTAATCTAAAGGTTAGGAATGGGGTGGGGGTGGGGGTGGGGGTGGAGCAGGGAATAATCCTCCAGCAGAAGCAAAGATCCCTCTAGAACCAGCACAGGGGTTCCTTATTTCTCCACTACCTCCTCCACGCTGATGAGTTTAGGGTCTTCGGAGGAAATACTGTCCACGATGGAAGAAAGACACCTGAGGCTACTGGAGGCTGATGACTCGATTATGGGCCCTCCGACTGTAAAGAAGGAGGCAGAAGCAGTGTTAAAAGAGAAGAGACAATTCAAATCCGCCGAAAACGAAAGTCCACAGCTTTTGCAAACTCTATGAACTACTTCTAAGAATTCCAAGCTGGAGATACTGAGGGAGAAGACACGTTTCTCCCTGTCATACTGTTTTCACGTCTTCAGTCTCCTATTGTCCCTTTCCTCCCCCCGAAAGAGTTTCCCACCACTCCACCCCCTGACACACACGTTTTAATTAGTGTCCGAACTCTAAACTGTATGAGGGTTGGGTTTTTTTTTGGGGGGGGGGGGTGGTACTTTACCTTCTCTGGGACTTATGGCTAGGGCCCTGGAATGATCAGAAACATTTTCCCATTCAGAGCTGCAGGTGCTCAGGAAATCGGAACTGGGGAGCTGGAGCAAACACAAGAAAGATCACTGGAGCTAGGTTAAGAAGCAGGGATCAGAATGGGACGGGGGGGGCGGCTTTTTCCTGGGGCTGGGAGTGAGGGGGGCTGGGGTGATGCAGTGGTGGCATTAGGGTGTCTCTAGTCCAATGAACTCGCCAAGAACTCCAGCTGTGCTTCAGACTCCTTAAGTAGGAAGGGAGACGGGAGGGAGAAGGACGGGGTGGGGGCTGCGGGAAGGGAAGAGGGGAAAGAGCTTAAGCAGCTGCACTTTTGGCCTCCGGGTGCCCTTACATTTGCTTGCTTAGGGCTGTAGCTGAAGGGGTCTGCCCCCAGCTCCTGCATCTTCTCCTGCTGATCCAGGCGGTGCAGGAGGTCCTGCAGCCGCTCGATGTACGTGATGGCGCTCCGCAGTATCTCCACCTTGGGCAGCCTCTGGTTGGGGTTGGCCACTGTCCTGCGCTTAAGGGCCTCGAAGGCCTCGTTGATCTTCTTCAGGCGTCGCCTCTCTCGCAGCGTGGCGGCCTTGCGCCGGTCCGTCGGGGCCGATTTCCTCTTGCAAGTCTTACAGGCCCAGATGAGGCACTGGCCAGGACAGTGAGGGGGCTGCAGGCCCGGGGGCGCCAGAACGTGCTCTTCGCCGCCGCTGTCGCTCCCGGCTTCGGGGGGCATTTGGTCCTGGCAGGGGGACAGGGTGCCATCGCTGCCCGGGTACAGAGGGGAGCCCTCGGCCATCTCCAGCTGCTGCAGGGCTCCATTCTCCCCGTCCAGGTAGAAGAAATAGGAGCCCGTTTCGAAAAGGTCCATCATTATGCTCTCCTCTTTGGCCTCTGGCTCTTCGGGAGCTGGGTGATGGGTTCCCAACCCCGGGAGGAACCACCCAGATGGCATCTAATTAGTGCGGTGACATAAGTTGCCCCCTGCTTTATATATAGCCGAAGCTGAAACTCAATCCAACTTTTAGCTGTCGCGGTGCCTCACCCTCCCAACGTGATTGCAGCTACTCTCTATCCCTCCCCCGTACTCCTCTCTCCCCCCCCCCCCCACCCCATGCTGTCCCTAGAACATCATCTCCTTAGAAAGACAACTCAGGTTACTACCCACTCCCAGAACCAGGAGACATCCGATTGTGTTCAGGGTGGGGAAAAGGTCAAAACGCACAGAGCCACTAAGCAACCCGACTCAAACAGCCCAGAGCAAGAGGGCAAGGGGAGAGCAGCCAGGGTTCAGGCCGGCCACCAGTTCCCTCCCCCACTGCCGCCCCTGGATTCTAAATATAGACCTATGGGGAAAGATTTCAAAGGCACTAGCTATCCGTCCAAACAGACCGGCTTAACATGTTCAGAAGGCTTCGGCCTCTTATTTCTCCTTCCTCCTTAAGAAGATGCTAGTCCTGTGGATCTAAACTATTCGAGAGTTGTCTCAGGTTTATAAATCGGTGAGCAGACTTCCACCTGCTTAACATAAATGTGTTCGTTCTGGTCCTGTGGCTATAAACTGACTCGAGGGGCTTCTTTCTTCTTCTTTAAACAACTGCCATTCACATGGAAGAGGTAAACTAAGGTAATAAGTCAAAAAGCAGAGCAGACATCAATCTCTCTTTTAAAAAAAACTTTATTAATTTAAAACTTAAATACAAAATGGAAAAGGGGGAAAAAAGAACATTGCCATGTATGTAGCAAAACGTAAAAGAGGATTCAATATAAAACAATGAATTTCCATTTCAAAAAAAAACCTATGTAATAAATACTAAACATTGCTTTTGGTGCTACCCAGATTTTCTGTGCTTCCTTCTAGGTCTTCTTTTGTTCTCTGCTGTGTACTTTTTCCCCCTCCCCCACCCAGGTTACAATTAAACAAGACTATATATGCATATACATATACATGCATATACATGCATGGTGCTACCTACTGGTGATACAAAGACAAACACGATATAGTTCCTGCCCTCAAGTAGCTTGCTTTCTATCAGGGGAGAAAACATACATACATACATATACATATATATACATACACACATATATACACATGCACACCTGTACTATATGTAAGACCATACCATGCATATTTCTATTTGTCAGTTTTTTCTCTGGAGGTGAGACATCAATCTCCTTAGCAGAAATTTGTTTCCTCTATTTTTGTGGCTGTAAATGAACTCTGTCCCAAGTGAGAGGCAGTGTAGTACAGTGGAGAGGGGGATGGAGTTGGAGTCAGGGGACCTGGCCAGCCCACTTACAACCTTTGTGACTGAGCAAATCACTTCACCTCAATTTCCTCATCTGTAAAAGGAGGGGGCTTTTCAGCTCCATATCTATAATCCGATGGCTGTGGGAGCATCGATTAAGAGCTGGTAGGATTCATGGAGGTCATCTAATCTAATTTGCTTCAGAGAGGGAGTGGAATACAGAGGACAAGAGCGCTGAATCTGGAGGATATGAGTTCAAATCTTTCCTTGTTGTGTGGCCTTACACAAGTCATTTAACATATCTGGATCTGTTTTCTCATTTGTAAAATGACTAAATAATCATTGGGGTCCCTTTAAGTCCCATTATTATCATCCTACTAATTTTAGAGAGGAGGACATTGCAGCCCAGAAAGGAAATGATTGACCTCAGGTCACACAGACAGGAGGCAGTATTCAGATTCAATGCAGCATTCTTTCTGATGTGCCATACTGTGGGTTTGTTTCATTGATCATTTAAAACCAGAAAGAGCCTTAGAGACCATCCTACTCCAAGGGTTCTTAACCTTTTTAGTGTGTATCATGGAACCCTTTGGCAGTCTGAGATGGATCCCTTCTCAGAATAATGGGTTTTTTTTTTTAATAAATAAAATACAATACATAGTATTGCAAAGGAAACTAGTTATATTGAAATAAAAATTTAATTTTCCCATACAACTTCACAGGCCATCTGAAATCTATCCACAGGTACTTGGGGGTTCAGGATCCAGGTTAAGAATTACTAATTTAATTCAAAGCTTTTTCTTTTATGACTGAGGCAACTGAGGCCCAGAAAATTCATTGGCTTGCCCATAACCAGTAAGGACTAGAGTCAGTATTTGGGCTCAAACAGGTCTCTCTCTACTGCCATACAGCCATGATGTGTCCTGTGTGCTGCAGAAAGAAAGAATTATCTTAGTAAGCTCTTGCAGAGCAGAAGCTGGTCTCAGAGACCTCTCCCATACAAAGTACTGCATTATGTTTTTGTTTGTTTGTTTTTTGTTTGTTTATGAGTGTAAGAGTAAAGGTATCTAAGTGGTGAAGTGAATAAAGCACCTGGAGTCAGGAAGACCTTAGCTAAAATCTAGCCCCAGACACTTACTAGGTGTGTGACTCTGGGCAAGTAACTTAACCACTGTTTGCCTCAGTTTCCTCAACTATAAAAGAGGGATAATAAAAGCATCTACCTCCCAGGTTTGTTGTGAGGATGAAAATGAGATAATCATTGTAAAGCACAGTGCCTGACACATAGCAAGCACTATATAAATATTAACTATTATTACCAGTAATAATCACCAATTTCAAATAGTGCTTTACAAAATTGCTTTAGATACATCTTATTTAATTTTTGCAAAGATATTATTAGATATAATTAAGACAGTGCCAATCAACACATTTTTTGAGTACCTCCTGTATGCTTTGTGGCAAATTCTAGGAAGAAATGCACTCTTATGACTCTTAGAAGAGAGCATAGAATTTCGAGCCAATCAATGAAAAAGCATTTAATTAGCACTTGCACTGTGCTAGGCATGGTGCTACCTACTGGTGATACAAAGACAAACATGATATAGTTCCTGCCCTCAAGTAGCTTGCTTTCTATCAGGGGAGAAAACATACATACATACATAAAATACATACATAAAATAAATACATAAAAACATAAAAATAAATACAAGATAATTTCAGGTGGAGTAGACAACTAGCCAGGGTTATTCCCCTCATTTCATAGTGAAGGAAACTGTGGCTGTATATTTATTTGCAAGCTATCTACCCCCATTAGAATGGAAGCTCCTTGAGGACAGGACATGTTTTTGCCTAGAGAGCAGCACTGGCCACGTCACCCCCTATTAAATAAATTCCAGGAGCTTCCTGTTACTTCCCAGAATAAAACAGAAAATTTTCTGTTTGACTGTAAAAATCTGACCAGGCAAGACTATAGATTTATCAACTCCCTCATTCTAACCAAGACACCACCAATCTCATTATACCTTACTATACCATCTGCTTTTTTGGCTGCTGTGGCAGTATTAGCATATATTGACATATATTGAACTTGTAGTCCACTAAAACCCTTGTGATTTGTCTAGCCACGTATCCAACATCCATAATTTATGAAGCCGATTTGTGGAGCCCAGGCACAAACATGAACATTTATTTCTATTCTAGCTCAGTGCATTCAATCTGGCACAAGGGTCTAGCAGGTTGAGCATCTTGGTGATAATAGCTAAGAGCTAAGATATAGATAGTGCTTTGGGATCTGCAAAGAGCTTTCTATATGCTAACTCATTTGATACTCACAGTAACCCTGTGAGGTAGGTGCTACCATCATCTCCATTTTACAGATGAAGAAACTGAGGCACTCAGAGAGTAAGTGACTTACTCAGAGCTAGGATTTAATCTTAGGACTTTCTGACTCTAAAGTCCAGCTCTCCAGCCCTACTCTGGCAAGCATTGTGTTTCTTTTCCCTCCCAGTTTTCTGTCATTTTCAGATTTGATGACCATACTATTTAGGCTTCAATCCCCTCTCTCAAGACTATTATTCAAAAGCTAGGGAATTTCTACTTCAATTCATAATCTGCCCATGAGTTTTGCACATGTATGCTCTGTATGTTCTGTGCTCCCAAGATATTTTTTAAACCAATTTGAAGAGAAAGGTAAGAATCGAGTCATAAGCCAATGATAATAATCTAATCACATGTGGGAATAGGGAAGTAGACGGATAGGAATTAGAAAGGGGGGAGGGTACAAAAGGCAGCCTTGCCACTTGTTACCTGAACTACTGAAGGAAGCTAGCAGAAATTCCACCGCCATGATGACTGATTACATTACAAATTCATGTTTACCCAACCCCAAGGCAATCCTTTTATTCCTCCTTAATTGATTTTTTTTAACTCAATCCCCAAAGAAGTCATTCCAAGCATTCAAACACATCCAAATTTCCCCCATCTTTAAGAAAAGGGAAAAAAAAAACTTTACTAGATTTTATCATCCTCTTGGGCAGCTAGATGGCACAGTAGATAAAATGCTGGACCTGGAGTCAGGAAGACATCTTCATGAGGTCAAATGTGGCTCAAAGACTTAGTAGCTGTGTGACCTTGGACAAGTCACTTAACTCTGTTTGTCTCAGTTTCCTCATTTGTAAAATAAGCCAGAGAAGGAAATGGAAAACCAATATCTTTGCCCAAAAAACCCCAAATGGGGTCAAGGAGAGTCAGACACAATTGAACAGCAAATCATGCTCTCAGGCTATTGACCTACATCTCTCTTACCTTTCTCACCCAGATTCCTTGAAAAAGTTTTCAACTCTCAGGGACTCTACTTTCAACTCACTCATTCCTCAGCCCACTATAATCTGGCTTCTCTAGATATTTGGGAGAAGCTTGTTTTCATATTTTCTTTTCCACGTTTAAGGGGTGGCAGTCAGGCTAGAGGCCCAATGCTCAGAGGTACAGAGACAAGCTATAGCCATAGAGACTTCCTCCAATGTGAACCATACCATATAGAGACTATTTCTCTATTTCTGGCATAAGTCATTTGACCTTTCTGTGACTTCATTTCCTATCCCAAGAATGAAGACAATGGAATGGCACACCTGTCAATGCATCTAGTGAGCATGATGTAAGGAGGGAAGAGTGAATGCCTAAGTAGAGGTTAACTGCAAGGGGGTGT